ACTTTTTCTGCCCTGAAACTTTGAGATTAAAAGTGTTTTATATCTTCCTACCAATTAATTCTTTCTCCCTGTATTATATCCATATATGAAGTCTTTTTTTACTGCCAATATCGATAGACATACCATGAACAATGGTATGATTTAGCTGATTATCAGTTACTCGCTAAATCAAGCCTTAAAACAAATGCATTGATTCGAAAAGGCAACGCTACTGACGTGCTGAACAAAGCCAAGTTAATGTTCTTCTAACATTACTATATTCAAATGTAGTCTGTAGTTCACAACTAGAACCAATGCATCGTATTAGTCCTTAGTATTTCAACCTAAGAGTTGCAATATGAATATAATGATACGTTTTAAACTGGTTATGTTTTTATATTTCTTCACAAAATGGAACATATAAGGAAGCTCCCGAAACCAATGATTAGTTTATACATACGTCGAAACTACAGGTACCGCTCACGTTTTGATTAAACTTAGTTTTGATCTCCAACTTTGTTGTAAAATACCCGAAAGAATATGATTCCACTGAGGGTTCTGAAAGTTCTTAAATGTGTTGCCAATTAGTTGCTTTGAACATATATCTTTCCCGAGTCTTTTATTTAACATACTTATTTGTTTTTTATTGTAGTGATGTTTTTAATAATTTGGATCAACTAGCCAGTCGAATGCAGGTCAATCGGTTATCTGGTCGACCTAGTGACCATGGTTTACAAAATGCATTATCTCTGTTTAACACCGTTGAACAGTTAGAATTTAGCCGTAATAGTTGGCTATATGAATCTTCGCTATCTCAGTACGTGGGGACCGATGATTACGGGAAAGAATCTGATTGTCGTCGTGTTGACTGGCTTATGGATAGAATCGAAGCGGAACGTTGGAGTCATAGATATTGGGGACGCACTCGTACTGTGCTTGAAGGTTTACTGGCTTGCTCCGCATTCAGACGGTACTTTTAATTTTTATCTTTAATAATATATTAACGTCGATGTATCCTATGTTTAAGTTAATTTTTCCAACACTTTTGGATTCTGCTTTCTATTACTACATTCTGCTAAGCGACCATATTACGTAAAATTTGCTGTGACTTTTCTTTCTATAAACGATACGTTTATTTACACGTAAAACAGTAAAGATATAATAATCTTATTAATAGACATGAAACTTAACTATATCTGGCACTTAGAATTTGTCGATAAAATAAGTTTCATAATGTTAACCTTGTCTTATATGAAAGGTATCTATCATAAATAATTTGTCTATGTTATGTTAACTGGATTGGAGGTAGAATAAGTCATGTAGTGTCTGAACAGACATATAATATCGAAGTCATTAACTAACACTCTGGGATACTTTAAAGCAATTTGTCCGTTTTATCAATTTTGATGGAGCAATGAGAAGGTGGATTTGATCTGAAAAACGTGATATATTTGGGCTATACATTTCGAACAATTTGGTTATATATAATGCCCTGTTAAGTATATGTTGGAAGCATTTTATTCGATCAGTATTAAATAGAAGCTTCTCAGAAACATCTCAAAAGTGAATTCACATGTAGCATTTTTGACAATATGACTACTACAGATCCTGCAACTATACTTAGTATAGTCTCAGAACCTCCCAGAATCCCAAGACCATCTGAAATGTTATAAATACTAGCCTTGCAGTGCAGCGTTCTTTTCAAACCTCGCATCTTATCTCTCTTGTTCAAGTTGTTTAGATTTAGCCAGGAATTATCAAAAGAGCTTAGGAAACCAATTTAAGCGTACGGCTATAAGGCCTATCAATAAACAATACACTTGCCGTCAATAATAGGTTGTATTACTTGGTTAACCACATACTATTCATCATTGCATTTGACCTTAGTTTCAAGAAACCCCCATCAAATTAATCTCTCCAAGATTATCAATCGGATAAATAATCTTTAATTCATGCTAATGTTGACGAAAATTGATGCAATCTATCTATTTTATAGCTCTCATTTAAATACAGATCATTCCCGCAGGCGAACGGATTTTCTCAATATAATCAATCGAGATTATGGTGCTGATTTGGAACATTTACTCAATGAATTAAATGTTAATTTGCCGGACCTCACTATAACGTTAATCGAACCATCATCTGTTGTATCCGTAGCACATCTAAGAGTAAGTATAAGGTAATTTATTGTTAAATGTATTTTATGCAGTGGCATTTTTATGGCCATTTTCATCAGTGGTCTTACGGAGTAACATTTACTAGTTCCTTATACAAACATACAAATACAGTTAATTGGTACTCCACACGTTATTTCACTTCTTCGGCATACATTAATGTATTTTCGAAAGTTTAGCTTCAAATTACATATAGATCATCGGGATTGTAGAGCACATTTCAGTGATTGCAATTTAATATTTCAGAAGAACGCAACTCCACTTCTGGATTAATATATCAATTTGTGAGTTACTTATTGTATGTGTGCTAATATTGCTTAAGTATGCAAACCTCTGTAGACAAGTTGGAGTTTAATTTAATTAACTCATTTACCAGGAACTTGGTTATAAGTTACACTAAATGTGAAGGCTAACGGGAAAGCTCTATTTCGGATTAGACGAAGTAATAATGTCGTCCCAATAAATTCCATATTGTGCATTATTTGCCGACACTGGGACTGATTGGAGAAGTGATCAGTCTATAACATAGTGCCGGGTTGTAAGAGAGGACTGGTATCTGTCGGTCCGAGAGATAATCAAACACAGTGGCTTGAGGCTATCAAACATGGCTCAGAATAGAGACCGATGACAATCCTGCTTTAACTTGTTTTTACTTCATAAAAGTGGGAGGAACCTCTTTAACTGAGAGAATTCCTTCTGGTTATATTTTTCCTAACTGAACTGCTCACTTCACTATTTTCGGATATGGTAGGTTATGTACGTAACTAGGAAAATCCTTCCCTCGGTTATGTATGCCAATGTACAACACCAACCTCTTGCTTATGCAAAAGAACTTGTGTCATGCTGTATGGCATAGTTAATGATGATTTAATGGGTATTATCTAGACTTCTTGTTATCATCTGTTTTTAATAAATTTATCGCCACACTCTAGGAGGTAAACAAACTTTATTTTACATCAGAAAACTTCGTAGTGTTAATTAAAAAAAAGAATTATTACGATTATTTTATTCTAAAAAGTACTTCAATTTTATTATGAAAACTATCCTAAAACAACCATTAAAATTCAACCCAACCTCAGTTTTATGTCATTTTGTTAATCTCTTTATTGTCTTTCTAAAGATTGGTGAGATAATGCAATGCTTTGTGACTTTTCGTCAGTTGAATCCAGAAAGAATTATTGTTCGTGGAGTATCGGAAACGATGATTATAAAAACACACTCTGATTTCCCGAACAACAATTTAAATATTGAGGAAAAACCCTTATCTTTAGCAACCGAGGAACTATTATCTGATTCAGGTCTTGATTCATTGCCGAAAATTCGTGATACTGTTGTCTCTTTACTAAGTCCGGACTCGAAAGCTCGATCACTCCCAGACCATAGACAACAGCGAGGCTCAAAACTCATCCGCTTTTGTAGTATACATCAATCGAAGCTCGATCTTTTTACACCAAGTCGTCATCCATTGTTTCGACGTATCACTTCCTTAGCCCAATGTGCCCTTCTTCATTTTTCTAATGAATATAAACCTCCTTCTGCCATTCGTGGGTTTTGTGCTTGGCTTCACAGTTATCGCGACTTGTTCAGTGCCCCATGCTGTCGTTGCGGTCAGCTTCTAGGTCAAAATGTTGAACTTCCACTTTGGCGTAGTTATCCTCAAATGAGAAAGGATAATTCTCGATCTATGGAACCCCAACATGAACACTGTCAAGCCATTATATAAACAATCATGTACTTCCTTGTTTTCTGACTTTTTGATTACTTTCTATCATTTGTATAGATAAACTCTACAATTTAATATACCCTGGCTGTAACTTGAGCGAAATGTTAATTCCTATACACTACACCACCTTTGTAATACATATAAGCTATGTACCAATAATTTTGTTAATGTGAGTTCTATAAAACTAGGGCATTTCAGCCTACACGATGTACGCCCCGTCCGAAAATCGATCTACCATCTAAATCACTTGAAACAAGCTACACATTAGTAATTAACAGAAATTGGTGTCAACTACTTAAAGTCGGCTGTGTTTACTTATCAAATATATGAAAGGTTATCTCAAAAATTTGGAGTATATAAGTGTAATGACTAAAACTTAGTAAAATTCCAATAGACTACTCGCTTGATTGTAAGAAACAGTGGTTGCAGGCGTTCAATGTGACTAACCTCACAAGGGAATATTACGTTCGTAATCGAAAACCGTGGCTTGTCAGTTCTTAATAAATCTAGAATATAAGCTCGGTTTTGAGGCGTATTCTTTCGTTTGATGGAGTGTCAATAAAATAGCAGTACTGAATAATGCTTAACTCTGTATAAACACTTCTATTGTATGGAATCACACTGATTTCTAATCTTATTAATCATCATATGACACTGGCTGCTAACAGCAAACACGTTAACTACAGCTGAATCATTTGACAATTTTAGTAATGGATGAGTCTTATACTGAATCCAAAAATTATTTCTCATGTAGTTACTTATCGAGCTGTCAAAGCCTGGTCACTTTATACAAACGAGTGATTTGTATTACATTACGCTACCTTAATATTTCGCGAAATTAAGGGACTGTCATTATTTAAGGTCATACATGTATCTGATGCTACTCAGTTAGTTGGGGCATTTGTGCATAAGTCATTTGGTCTGTGTCGTCGTATTAAATACGCTCTTGTACTAGAGGTATGTCCCATTTTTACTATTTCTGAACCCCAAGCTATCTACAATCAGATAGTGTTGTGACTTACAGAAAGCATAGGCCGTTCACAACATGCAAAATTATCGAGTTGAGATCCTTCACATTTATAGTTTGCTCTCCATTTCTGATAACATGATTTATTTGTTGCTAAGCCTTACACAAACAAAATTAATAGGTTAATTGACACGAAGTATCTTTAGTGTTATAGAAAGATATAATACTAAAAGAATGGGCTAATTTTAAAGATCATAAATTATTTGTTAAGTACAGGTTTAGGCATATCTTTGGACTGGATTGTGTGTATGAGGGTTAGTAGTGTAATCTCACTGACCAAACAATTAGAAACAGTGGATATGTAGTCTGCGATCAGTTGGTTGAAAACCAAATGCTTTCATTATTAAGCCGACTTTACAAATTTATAACAATAAAAAATACTGCTAAATGTTGGGAAAGCTATACTTCTACTGCATACAAGATATTGATTTACAATCTCATCATTTTGCTTTGTTTGGCAGTTTCTGTCTCTAATTTTTTCTGTTTGAGATATGCTTCACGATCTTGGAGGAAATTCGCATATCCACTGGGTGTGTAGTCAACTTTTCCAGATTCGATGTCATCTTGTGTTACAATCTCAATACCCAAACGATGTGCTGTACCAATTAACATTTTACAAATATCTTGCAAATCTGCTGTAAATAAATGTGGATCTTGTTTTTTGAGCTCAGCAATGTGATAGATATGTTTAAGAGAAAGACGTCCACACACTTCAGTACCTAAAATGTTAAAAAAGGCATCTGTGCACCACTAAAAAAGCATGGGTATATAAGACTACCTGCAGTTTTAATACATAAACTTAGATGGCTGAAGGGATTTCAGGATACATTCCTTAAATTTACAACTAACATTTAGAACTACACAAAAATCCTTGGATTTTGGTAGCGAATCCAATGACATTACACTTATCTTACTGAAAACACCATAAAGTAATTGATTATTTTTTTTTTGGTCCTGATGCCTGAGTAACTTAAATACTTCAACTAACTTTAGTGCAATACGTCTAAATACATACTGCCGTCCACTTTCATGCATCAGAGGTGAAACCAATATAAATGACCACGGTCTGCTTGTATGATCACATATATTCAAAATCAAATAGATAAAGTAGGGTATGGTGCCTAATATGAAATTCAAGATTGAGCGAAAGTATGAGTGCAACCGAGCCACTACGATAGATCGATTGAGGGATGTCACCCTACAAAAATAACTATTGATTGTGATTATCTTGCAGTCGTTGATCTAGAGATGTGTTTTCTCTACAGCAATCGATCTCTTTACCTACTGATTTCAAGGTCCGGTCATTCATCTGTAACAGATTCCGATTGCAGCCAACATAGTGGACTAGAATAGACTGTGTTTGCGCATACATGGCAACCTCAGTCACTAGGTGTTTATAGCTTAATTGATCGGCTAACCATTTACAAAACCCTACTATTATCCTTAACATTACTTGGTCAATGGTCCCAACATGATTCGAAGACCTCAATGATCAAGTGTTTGCAACTCAGTCAAGCTTTCGTAGACTGTTATACAACTGTGGAATAATAAAGTACGACGTACTGCCCGCCACACTCCCCTATGCTATAAGTAGGCAAGGAACAAACAAACTTTTTGTCAGGCTACACAGAGTTACGAATATATCACCAAGATAGCTTGATATTAAATCCGAATGCCCAAAGTAGAGTACATGAAATGGAGACTAACCTGGAGAGGAAGCACCTTTCTTAGCTGCTGCAGCCATTCTTAGCAAATGCATAGATGATGGATGACTGATGACTAAGTCGTATGATCGATCGGCCTAAACAAATAATGTTTAAACGTTGGTTACCTTGACAGATATAAAACACGGCATTGGAGTTCCCTCTACAACATCTTTCGTTCTTTCATTGAAATCTTTACAGAAATGAGCGATGTTCACGTTTCGCTAACAAAAATTTGATTGTCTTTTAAGCAGAATGAACTTACTTTACCTAGCTGTGGTCCTAAAGGTGGTGCTGGTCGGGCTTGCTGTGCTGGTATAATTAATTTTAGAAATGGTGGATGAACTATAGAATCAGCCACTGCCTTTGTTTTGCGAGTCACTTTTGCAGCTACCCGAGAAGCCATTTCCTAAAAAAATCACAAAACCTTGAACTCGTTGCTAAAACGTTCTTCATGAAACTGATTTACACGAATACCTATGGCACATCTAAATAACATCAACTGAAGACAATTTTTCTGAGACGATAATGAGCTGTTTCAACCTGTTGTTGAAAATCAAGTCACTAACTTAGTGAATAACGGAGCTACACTTAACTACAACTACAGTTGCTATCCATCTTTGCTTGTAATGCTTGTAAATTAAGGCAATATCGAGGCATACGCACATATGCCAAGAAGAGACTGATCAATTGCAGTCCTAAAACATCAATGGGGAGTTTCAAGTAAAACAATACCAAGTGAATTATAGTTGCTATTATTATTATTACCACATCCACAATATATATGATGTATTTAGACCACCATATGACGAAAATACATTGTTATGATAGGATAATGAACCAACGGTTTGGCTGTGGACATACAGCGACTGCTCTCATCAACATACTATTGCTGAAAGATGCAAAGACCTGGATTTTGTCTTTCAAATTATTAGGTGATAAGTACAATCTTCCTTCAAAATCTGAAACAGAGTGAAGATTTGGTCACCATACTAATATCTCCTTGATCTCAAGCTAGTTCCAACTGAACATTGGACTAAAGTGTACAGGAGGATTTCAGAAGTCATGTTAGTCAGACCCGGTTCCGGTGTCTGCCATCTGTTATTTGTACAAAACTAAATAACCAAGGTTAGGAGACAGTCTGAGAAAATTTTCTAATAATAGTTTAGCTAGCAAAATCTTACAGCAGAATTCGAATTGGACTGGTAAGTCATCTCACCTTGGCATGTGTTAGGTTAGTCACAGTTTTCTTGAACTCGGTAAGATTTACAAATGTTCAACATGCTCCAGTTCGTTTGTAGGCAACTGTGATAAATGTACACTACGCGAAAAACTTCTTAGTACTCTTCTTATTAATAAAAGTGAAATTGTTAAGAGATAGGGAGCAGAACGAGAGTACCATAAAAAAAGAACAAAAGTGAATTGTAAATAGTAGTTGAGAGCGAAAAAAGGTAATGAAAAAAAACAGTTCAGTTAGGAAAAATATAACCAGAAGGAATTTTTTTCAGCTAAAGAAGTTCCTCTCACCATCGCCATGGGCTTCTATTCTGAGCCATGTTTGATAGCCTCAAGCCACTGTGTTGGACTATCTCTGGAACCGACAGACACGAGTCCTCCATTATAACCCAGCACCATGTTATAAACTGACCGCTTGTTCGTTAAGGAGAAAGAATGTATTTGTAAAATCTCAGCGAATAAATTTGAAGTAAATCCAACGTTTCGCTTGGCAATCTGGTCTAAGCTCTTTTCAAGAAAATATAATCAAGATTATCGAACATAAAGAGGTATATAGTTCTTCCCCGACCGAAGCTGCTACCTTGACGCGGTGGTCGGGCTTTCCTATCGTGATGACCCAACCGAGCTATATTAGCTGGAACATATGTTCCTGTAGGTTCTACCATGCCAGGCAGGTCGACTGGAGAACGGTAAGACTAAAAGCAGAAACTCAAGGTCTGAGGGCGAAGTCATACTGCTGACTGTAGAGGGGTGTGACAGCAGTAAGGTGTTTCCCTCGGACAATCAGCATGACAGCGATGCTGCCTTACCACAAGGAGGGGTGGGGTGAGAAAAGGTCGACCCTAAAAATTTCACACCTCACCTTACCTCACGGATTTCCGTCTCCGGCGGTAAGGCCCTTTGAAGAACAGAGCTAACACGTCAAAAACCTTCCACAAAAAGGCCGTGCGCGACCGGCCTCAAGCATTCGTCCCTTGGGCTCTGTGGTCACGCTCCCAGGTCGTCAAGACCAACACTAATCCAATTTCCTTTTCAGGTTCCTCAAGAAATACCCTTCCACGGTGTGGGCAGCCGGGAAGTGATATCAGCCCTCATACCCGTAACAGCGCACGAGATCAAGTTGGTCACATTCAAATCCTTCCTACACCTCCTAATACCTCTCTTATCTCCATGACTAACCCTCCTCACGTCTCTTTATCACCTCGCACCGCTAGGGCAAACGATTCGAGTACGTGGAACGCTATTCCTGGTCTCCTGAAACCACGCTCTGAACTACATGTAGGAGCTTTTAACGTCCGAACACTGTCCCAAATAGGATAGCAGGCTTCCTTAGCTAGGACTTTAGAATCTCGCCCTATCGATGTGTGCTGCGTCTCCGAAACGCGCATACAGGATCCGAGTAGCGTCGTTCATTTGACCTCACCATGCCAAAATAAAGAACCGACTCGATTCACAATTCGTGTATCTGGAAGCCCTGATTCTGCTTCCCGTGGTCTCGCCGGCGTAGGTATAGCATTGAGTTCTAGGGCAGAACTAGCTCTCTTAGACTGGATCCCAGTAGACAGTCGTTTGTGCGCTGTCCGACTGGACGGAACAGTAAGAATCCGGAAAGATAGGGACACTTGTCGTTGCCTCTTCGTCGTCTCTGCCTATTCTCCCACTGACTGCAGCTCAGATGATGACGCGACGGCTAGATCACCCATGTTTCGGAGATGTGAAAGAAACTGATGAATTAATTTCTCACTTACATACAGACCTCGAAAATGACTGCAGGATGTATGAAGATGAAAACAAAAGCCTCTATGAATCCCTGATGACCAGTGATGTAAACGAGACAGTTATTCATGATCCGCCCAGTTGTCCAGAAATGTCAAATTCCGAAACATCCCCTGTCGTGGGTTCAAGTCCCACTGTTCCTGAAACGTGTACAGACAGTGATATACTCAGCCCACAGGAAGAAGATCTCTTATTAAATGCTCATAAATTAATTACAGTACCCTCTCACAAGGAAACAGGAAACAAATCGTGCAGTATACTGAGTCTAGCTGCTCCAAACGGTCCTCATCAGTCAACAACAGGAGATTCTGATGAATCGTATAATCTAGGTCCTGTTGTACCAGAAAATGTGTTAAATGCACCAAACGATGATCAGAAGTTTGATACAATTTTGATAGATGTTAATTATCCCAGTGATCAATTATTCACAAATGAGATTTTCAAGGAATTCTATGATAATGTTCCAGAAGAATCGAGCGTTGATGACCTCATATCAAGCGACGTTGGCCCCCACTATTTAATCACTTTCAGTGACTTCTCTGTTCAATCTGACAATTATGTGTTAAAGAAAGTCAAATTAATTTTGACTTGGGGATATGAGGACCCAACATTATTTCGTGGGGGAGGATGAACCCAGAAAATTTCAAAATCCGGATATCAACTCCGGATCTTCAAAAAAAGGGAGGTGTTGTGGATGCGGAGGAATAGACCAATAATTATGATGTTAAGTCCAATGGTGTTCTTGGACTTTGAATGGACATTTCCTATTGGTCGATATCTGTTCACTTGTTGAATATTGTACAAAATGTTGTTTTTTATTTTTATGGTACGATGTGGTATGCTTGATTGGTATATAAACAAAGTATGTTTGAAATATAATGATTCATAACTCAGAGGCCGTGACTTGTGTTCTTGACTCAACTGGCTAGGACGGACAGCGAAGCAGGGTCAATCAGGGCACTAGGTTGTTCGTACGTGTTTACGTGTCACTGTCACAGAGCCGATCAATAAATACGCTGCTTATCAAAAACCTGCAGTCACACACGTTACAACAATGAGTTTTACAGAAAGCTTTCGGACCTTCTCCGAAAAGCTAAGCGCTCGGATGTAGTAATAGTGGCCGGTGACTTTAATGCTCAAGTACGTAAACTAAGCGATAGGGAAAGATACCTGGGTGGATCTTATGGTGTCGTGGCTCAAAGAACAGATAATGGCGACCGTCTGTTGCAGCTATGCTCAGATAACCGCCTGTTCCTTGCAAATACTAATTTTAAGCATAAGGAAAAACAGGCGAGACTCTAATTTAGCGACGAGCCAATCAGAAGCGTTTGAGCAATCTCAAGGTCACGGAGCCATGTTCAACACGCGATGCTAACATACGGTCGGTTCACAGCGGAATTTAGAGAGGAGGTGATTAATGAGAGGTTAAAACAGATGGAACGGCGAAACTCTAATTTAGGGACGAGCCAGTGAGAAGCGTTTGAGCAATTTCAATTATTAGCCAATCAGAAGACAGTATAAAGTAAAAATATATTACAAGAAAGTAATGAATTACAGTGGATATTCTTCTTTTACATGATTTAAAAACTTGTTGAGGTTTGATAAAGGTTCAGAAGTTCCGAATTCATAATGCATATTGTATAGAAACTCGTCCATAGGGTTAGGGGTTAAGGTTAGGGATAGATTAGGGTTTAGGGTTAGGTTAAGGTTAGGGTTTAGGGTTAGATTAGGGTTAGGTTAAGGTTAGGGTTTAGGTTTATGGTTAGGGTCAGGTTAGGGTTTAGGGCTAAGGTTAGTGTTTAGGGTTAGATTAGGGTTTAGGGTTAAGGTTAGGGTTAGATTAGGGTTAGGTTAAGGTTAGGGTTAGATTAGGGTTTAGGGCTAAGGTTAGGGTTAGGTTAAGGTTAGGGTTATGGTTAGGGTTAGATTAGGGTTTAGGGTTAAGGTTAGGGTTCGGTTAAGGTTTGGGTTAGGGTTAGGTTAAGGTTAGGGTGCTAACATGCGATCGGTTTACATCGGATTTTAGAGAAGAGATGTCCATTGACAGGCTACAACCCTAACCACTAACACTATGGACGAGTTTCTATACAATATGCATTATGAATTGAGAGCCTCTGAACCTTCATCAAACCTTAACAAGTTTTTAAATCATGTAAAAGAAGAATATCCACTGTAATTCATTACTTACTTACAATATATTCTCACTTTATACTAGCTGTCTCCTGATTGGCTAATTATTGTCAAGGTCATTTAAGATTCGTTCAAAGGTCGTCGCTAAATTAGAGTCTCGCCGAAAAACATCTTTTAACATGGCAACTCCCTAATTCGTCCCAATGTTGGACTCAAATAGATCACATCGCTATCAGCCATCGATGGAGGGGCTCGATAGAAGACTGTCGCTCATTCTGGAGCACATGCTTAGATTCAGATCATGCTCTAGTACGAGCGCGCATCTGTCTGCGTCTTACTGGACGTAGGAAAGACGCTGCAAGGAAACCTCTTAGGACCCTGATGGCATTCTGTTATATTCCTAACGAGTTAGTTTTTAGTTTTAAAATAGCAATAGTTAGTAAGGAATGCTGAGGAACTTAATAATCATCCTACAAAGTATCATCTGGAACAATTTTCTTGCTGTTCATGTGTTTGAGTTTCCAACTAAGAATCCCGTCTCCTGGCTTAGGAAAATCCTGATGTTTACCCAAAATTTATAAAGAAACTCGTATTTTTTCCTTTAAGTCTGGGATTTTGGGGAACCTTTGGAATTTTTGTCGCATTTCCCCAAAATTTTATATTATGGCTTCCCAAAAACCAATTAAAATTCCCCCCAAAATCGGGAGATTGGGACTGAGACCTTACTTTTGAGGAGGGGCAAGAAATTATTCTCATTTACTTACATAGTTTGAGAAATGACTATTTATTTCTTATTAACCCATAATCATATGGTTCGATTTATTGTTGCAGTCGCTTGTCGTACTCATTACACATGAGATTACAAGTAGAATCTTCAGAGCACTGTCTTGAAAACTCATTTCATAACTTTAGGTTATTTATCAATGTTTTGAATGACTGGTAGGATATATGACACAAACAAAAAGTTGTGATACTATTACAAGTAACGTACTACATAAAACAAACCCTACACAGGTCGATAAGAATATTGCCATTTTAAAAATAGAAAAACCGGACAAACTTTCGGATGTATGGCTCTACAAAATTCAGAATAACCTCA